AGGGGGAGTTGGGAGTGGGTAAACTCACGGTTGGCTTTCACCCTCTATCTTGAATCCCTGATCAAAAGCTCTTTTAGCCAAAAATTTGTTCCAAATTTCTTTGGTATCATCATCATCACCCTTGGGTCTTTTTTGCTTCAGCCCAAGGCTAACATAAATTCTTTTCCTCTTCTTTCTATTCCTTTTTTCGATTGCGCTTGAGCCTGTTTGTCTGTCCTTGGAAGCCTCAATGGTGTTGTTCCCTGGACAAAAAAATCATGGCTGGAGTATATGGAAACATATGTATTGAAACATATATAGATAGCTACTGCAACACATGAGGTAGTACCAATGAAACAGTAGAAAATCAAGGCTGAAGTATATGGAAACATATGTACTGAAACATATATGGATAGCTACTGCAACATATAAGGTAGTACCAATGAAATAGTAGAAAATCAGGGTTGAAGTATATGGAAACATATGTACTAAAACATATATAGATAACTACTGCAACACATGAGGTGGTGCAAATGAAACAGATTAGCAAAGTTATTGCAATGGGACTACAAAAGAATATAAGACAAAAAGGGAAAAAGGATGTGTCAAACAAAGAAGCCACATTTGAACGCATAAAATGAGATGGATGAAAAAATCAGAGTGTTTACGAGTAGGCGTAGGGCTTCTTGATCTTTCTCCACAGATATCTTTGAACTCTGGTTCATCAGGTTTGAATAGGTCAAATGAAGGAATATCATGTACATATGAAGGGACTGATGGCTTGCAAGGAACTGGACCTCTTTTACTCTCCTCTGGTGGGATTGGTGGAGGGGAAGCAATTGGTCCTTTTGTACTCTCCTCTGGTGGGATTGGTGGAGGGGAAGGAACTAGACCTTTTGTACTCTCCTCTGGTGGGACTATTGGAGGGGAAGGAATTGGACCCTTTGTACTCTCCTCTGGTCAGATTGGTGGAGGGGAAGGAGTTGGTTCATTTGTTCTGTCCTCTGGTGGGATTGGTGGACTAGAAGTACTTGCATGTCATGTACTCTCTAGTGGGTTGGATGGTGTTTTGGGTGACTCAGCAGGTGATGCTGTTGGATCTGGTGGAGGATGCACGTTGGCATTGTCATTGGAAGGTTTCTTCAGCTGGCTCATCTTACTTGCCAAATCCGCAACATCATTCAGACGTTTGTTTAGATGGATCAACTTAGAAGCCAACTCAGCACCACGCTTTGCCATGATCACCTTTCCTTGCTCTTTCATTGCCTGTGCAAGCTCACTTGCCAAATCCGCAACATCATTCAGACGTTTGTTTAGATGGATCAACTTAGAAGCCAACTCAGCACCACGCTTTGCCATGATCACCTTTCCTTGCTCTTTCATTGCCTGTGCAAGCTCATCAAAATCTTTCTCCACCAAAGAATTATGCTGAGCCAATAGAACTTGGTATTCTTCAGGAAGGAACTGTAATAAAATAATATATGCAATGTCAAACATAGGAAATTGCAAACATATATATACATATATATTTGCGTAAATATAAAATAGGGTCACTAACACATGTATGAAATGGCACTGCAACATATGAAGTGGAGTAAATGAAACATGTGGGAAATTACACTACAACATATGAATGCACATTGTGCAACATGTATGGAAATTATGAGAGGGTTTTGACAAAATCACCTCAATGGCAACCGTAAGAGTATCAATTGGACGGTGGACTGGAAGTGCCTGGGCAATCCAGCCAGTCCTTAAGACTTGGCTGCACGGGCTCTTCTTCTTCTTCAGGCATTGGCGGCGAGGGTGGCCCCATGGACTCTTCTTCAGGCTTTGGCGGTGGGGGTGGAATGTAACCAGTCATGGGCATCGGGGTAGGGTAGGGGCTGGTCTTTTGGAACTAACAATGAATGAAGATATATTATGTCAAGAAATAATGTAATGACTAAAAGAAATGACTAAAGATGAATGAAGATAAAAAAGCATCAAACTCACAGGTTGCCGCCCATATGCATTAAGCAGCAACCTACTCTTGTCAACACTTTCAACGAATTTAAAGTCGCTGTTGGTGACATGGTAAATGTGTGGGACAGAATAATTGATCTTGTGAGTAGCTCGGTCAGCAGGTATGTCAAGGTGGTCCATGTATGCAATCTACATACAACCAAAAAACATGAATGCCCAACATTTAGGAAATCGGGGCTGCAGTATATGGAAGCACTTGTAATGAAACATGTATAGTAGCTACGACAACACGTGAGGTAGTAGCAATGAAACAATAGAAAATCAGAGCTGAAGTATATGGAAGCACATGTACTGAAACATACATAGATAGCTACTGCAACACATGAGGTAGTAGCAATGAAACAGTAAAAAATCAGGGCTGAAGTATATGGAAACATATGTACTGAAACAAATATAGATAGCTACTGCAATACATGAGGTAGTACCAATGAAGCAGTAGAAAATCAGGGCTGACGTATATGGAAACTTATGTACTGAAACATATATAGATAGCTATTGCAACACATGAGGTGGTACCAATGAAACAGATTAGCAAAGTTATTGCAATGGGACTACAAAAAATAATATAAGACAAAAGGGAAAATGAACATACCGCCAAAACAGTAAGGCAGGAGCCAAGGTAGGGGCTTGCGGCAGCACCTTCAGCTTTAGGATCATGGGTCTGGTACCTTCGGACTTGATTCATCAACTCATCAAGGATGTGCCCAGCCCAATCAAATGATTTGATTTTAGAGACATCCTGTAAGTTATACAAGTACCGTGGGGTGGTTGCATTATCTGTTCGTGGGCAGAGTACAGACCCCAAGGCAAGCAATATGAATGCCCTCGTAAAAGATTCTTTGTCCTTAGGTTTAGTCAACACCCCATGCACTTGGGCCACTTTGCTTTGAATCTATCCATAAAAGGCTCCCAAATCTTCTGGAATTCTTCATATTGATCGGCGGTTGAAGTAAGCTTAACAGACTCTTCTCCGCTAGGCACACCACGAATGTTGCAAACAAGCTGCTTGTCAAATACAATGACTTTATGTTTGAGCCTAAACACTCTCAAATCAACATCAATGTGCTTCATGATCCATGCAACGAGCTTCACAGGGATGGAAAACTCATACATGGCAAGTAAAGCATCAAAACCAACCTCTTCAATCCACCCTATCTGATCTTGACTGAACTCGTGGTCACGAATCCTGTGGACTGGAAATCTTGTTGTGAAGGGGTCGCCATTGCCTTTGCCTTTGGTTTTGGGAGCATTAATTCCTGTGTAAAAAAGACAACGAAACAGCATATTAAAATCAAATCCAAAAATTGGGGTACACCGTTCATAATAACGCATAAAAAGTAGCCACAAGTTGCTACATGTTCCAACACGCAGGTGGACAGCATAGATGCGCCGATAACACATCACATTTAAAAAATGAAACATGCTAATATATAGACGCCCTATAGCTGATTGTTGCAAAAAAAATATGAAGAAGGCATGAAACACTAGGCATATCATGGTGAAACAACGCAGGACAGCACAATGGAACATGTTCAAAGTTTTTAGCCAACACTAACCCTAGCAGGAATCAACATACATTTGATCATATATGATAAACAGAAAATCCATTAGAGATGCAGTAAAGAGTAATGGCATGTCTGATCTCAAGATTTCAATTATATTCCTTCAATATCTGCAGTCATTGGACATATGCATCTACTGCCTAGCAAGCACCACCAACATACATTGAACACACTATCATCATGTGTATTGCATTTATGAATTCTGAAAATGTGCATATGAGATGCTTCAGATACCCAGGAGCTACATGTTCGACGCCATACCTTCCTGGTTCGGGACCTTCTTCATTGGAGATTTCTTCACAGCGATGTTGCTCCGTCCTTTGCTCGAAGATGCTTGTCCTGCCTTGTTGTTGGGGACCATGCTCACTGTCAGACCCCCTCGTGCCCTGCTGTTGGGGACCTTCCTCGCTGCCAGACGCCCGCGACCACGTCCCCGCCCAGCATCTGCCTCCTCGTCGGTGCTGCTGAGCGAGTCACCCCTGACGGGTGACACATCCCGGCCTGATCTTGTATGCATCACTCGGAACCAGCATTTGGTCACGGTGGAGAAGGAGGAGCGGGCGAGAGGCAGGCGACTTGCGTCGTACCTGCAATGCTAGGGTTGGGGTGACAGGCAACCATCGCAATCCCTGTGAAGGCGGGCCGCGCGATGCAGGCAGTCACGGTGGGAGGATGGGACGGTGGAGGCGATCAACGAAGGTCGGGGTGGAGTGGAGCAGGCAGACGCCGCGGTGGGGGCGTACGGTGAGTGGGAAAGGCGGGCGGCGCGGTGGAGGAGGGCGGTGCGCTGGAGGCGGGCGGCGCAATGGAGGCCGGCGCGGCGAGCGGATGGAGCAGTAGAGGCGCCGCGCGGCACGGTGGTGGATTCCGCGGCGAGGTGGACGTGGCCGCGACCGCGGTCGGGTGAGGGGAAATGTCGATTCAGAAACTCGTCGCGAGTGGAGAACAACTGATGCCGTTGCGTGAGGATGTCTGGGCCGCCTGTCCGAAAGCCCACCAAGGAGGCCACAGGCCCAGCGAGGAGGCGTCCGGACGGCTGTGCTTCGGCTGGAAGCCCTACACCGAGCATTTCCGATAAAACAAAGAGAAGATGGAGGAAGGTGCAGCGAACTGCCTTTTCTTGGTGGTCCAAGGGCCACGTCACCGTGCGCCACGGAGTATCTGCTTGTATATTTTGCGTAAAAATATGTGTATGTGTTGAGAAAAGCAGCCGAGCTGCCTGTTGCTCAAGTCACAGTCCAACGCCATGTCACCGTTGACTGGAAGGACCACATGATCATATCCTGTATCAGACCCATTTTAGGCCATTGGCCCATTGCTCTTTGTCTATACTCTATATATATGCGTCTCCTTCAGCACAACACTTCAGTAAATCACAACACACACACACCTTGTCTCTAATCAGAGATCAAAGAAGTAGCCGTTAAGTTAACGATGGCTTCCGCCGAGCTCACAGAGGCCGTCGAGCCCAAGAAGAAGAGCAACGTCAAGTATGCCTCCATCTGTGCCATCCTCGCCTCCATGGCCTCCGTCATCCTTGGCTATGGTACCCATTCTTTCGTTGTTGTCAAAATATATATTTCGTTTTGCTTTCCAAGAGTTTGTAGATGAAGTTTGGGTACTGTCAATCAACTCTGTAGACATCGGGGTTATGAGTGGAGCGGCGATGTACATCAAGAAGGACCTGAAGATCTCGGACGTGCAGTTGGAGATCATGATAGGCATTCTCAGTGTCTACTCGCTGATCGGTTCCTTCGCTGGCGCGCGGACGTCCGACAGGATCGGTCGCCGCTTGACCGTTGTCTTCGCGGCTCTCATCTTCTTCGTGGGCGCGTTGCTCATGGGTTTTGCCGTCAACTACGGCATGCTCATGGTGGGACGCTTCGTGGCCGGAGTTGGTGTTGGCTACGGGGGTATGATTGCGCCCGTGTACACCGCCGAGATCTCGCCGGCGGCATCCCGCGGCTTCCTCACGTCCTTCCCGGAAGTGTTCATCAACATCGGTATCCTGCTCGGCTACGTATCGAACTTCGCGTTCGCTCGCCTCCCGCTCCACCTCGGCTGGCGTGTTATGCTCGGCATTGGCGCAGCGCCGTCCGCCCTGCTCGCGCTCATGGTGTTTTTCATGCCCGAGTCGCCTCGGTGGCTTGTCATGAAGGGCCGCCTCGCGGACGCCAGGGCTGTGCTAGAGAAGACCTCTGCCTCGCCAGAGGAGGCCGCAGAGCGGCTGGCTGACATCAAGGTTGCCGCGGGGATTCCAAAGGACCTCGACGGAGACGTGGTCACCGTACCCAAGGAGCGGAACGGTGGTGAGATGCAGGTGTGGAAGGCGCTCATCTTTTCCCCAACCCCGGTGATCCGCCGCATACTGCTATCGGGCGTCGGCCTGCACTTCTTCCAGCAGGCTTCTGGCAGCGATTCCGTCGTCCTGTACAGCCCGAGCGTGTTCAAGAGCGCGGGAATCACCGGCGACAACAAGCTCCTGGGCGTCACCTGCGCGGTGGGCGTCACCAAGACGCTTTTCATCCTGGTGGCCACGTTCCTGCTGGACCGCGTCGGGCGTCGGCCTCTGCTGCTGACCAGCGCGGGTGGAATGATCATCTCTCTCATCGGCCTCGGGACGGGCCTCACAGTCGTGGGGCATCACCTGGACGCCAAGATCCCGTCGGCCGTCGCTCTGTGCATCGCGTCCACCTTGGCCTTCGTCGCCTTCTTCTCTATCGGCCTCGGCCCCATCACGGGTGTGTACAACTCGGAGATATTTCCGCTGCAGGTGCGCGCGCTGGGCTACGCGGTCGGCTTGGCGTGCAACCGCGTTACCAGCGCCGTGATCTCCATGACCTTCCTGTCCCTCTCGAAGGGCATCACAATCGGCGGCAGCTTCTTCCTCTACTCCGGCATCGCTGCGGTCGGGTGGGTTTTCTTCTTCACGTGCCTTCCGGAGACCCGCGGTCGTACGCTGGAGGAGATGGGCAAGCTGTTCGGCATGCCAGACACGGACATGGCTGACGCAGACAACGCCGCTGCCAAGGAGAAGGTGGTGGAAATGCCCACCAAGGAGATGGGAGGAGAACACAACTACTCGGCCCTAGTCGGCAGTGCCGGCAATCATTGATGCAGCGTCTCTTACCAGAGCAGAGCTCAACTCACCGAAAAAAGAAAAAAAGATGAAGCAGCGTGGCAGGATTGACCTCTGAGGTGTTGTGGTGCTGGAGGACAGAGACGGCCGTGAATTATTGGTGTCAGCGTCGCGTGTGCTTTGTCATGCCAGAGGTGAACCGAAAATGTAGCAATGGGCACGTGCTTCCGTATTGTTTATTCCAAAAAAAACAAATATGCAAATATCATACTCAGAGATTTCTTTTGAGATTCCCAACTTTATCTCGAAACTTCTGAATTTTATTGTTGTGTCAGGACTCAGGGAAAAAGATTGACATGTTCTAGTTCCGTGATCTCGTGGTGATAATTAAGGGCTCGTTCATTTAACCCTCATTCCACCATGATTCATTCCAGGAGATCAAATATAGTATAAATTAGCATAATATTCCAGGTTGAAATCAATCCAGGGGTCCATTCCGTATTAACCGAACATTGCCCTAAGTGATTGAAATTCTCTCACCTTCTTGTTGGGTCACACGTTTTTTCTTTCCAATGTGTTATCCCCCCCCTCGTGTCAAAATAAAATTACTCACAGTTACCATCTCACCCGTTAAATCAACATCTGAATATCTGATAAGTCACATGTTTATTTATTCCTATATACACGTAGCAGGAGCCGGCCTAGAATTTTTTTATCTTTGGGTATTTAAAATATGAATGGGTAGTGGCGGACCTAGGAATTTTTACCTTGCGTATTTAAAATATGAATAGGTAGAACTATTTTTTTGACAATCTAAACTCCTAAGTTCATTTGGCATGTATAACACCACATATTTAGCTATACAATATATAGCAAATATACAACACATAATCGGACATAATTTCATAAATTCATATAATTTGAGCATAAAGAAGTGCCAATAGTTTTTAACATATCAAAGTAGCAACATCCAGAATATACGGAGGCTTTGAAATAACAAAATGGTAAGAAAACCTACAAATTACAATACAACTTTTCGGACCCTTCTTGCATTGAAAAATGATCGATGATGTTCTCATCCTTAGTTTGCAAAAAAAAATCCCTTTCAGTGAATGTAACCAACCAATCATTCTAAGTATTTTTGACCCATCTTGTTTCCTTGCTTGTTGTTGATATAGTTCATTGTAGAAAAGATCCTCTCAACACCAGCTATTGCAACAGGGAGAACTAACACCAATTTGAGAAGTTTGTAGACAATGTCATACCGAGAAACCTTTCCTGTTTTAACAAGCATCATAGACAAACTCAACTAGGCCTCTCAAATTTGTGAAGTTTTCATCTTTCCTCACATCATCAATATAGAGGTTCAACCGAAAAAGGAGCCGGTTCATTTATTTAAATTCAAAGTCACGAGGATAGAACTCAGCAAGCTTCACCAAGTCCTCAATATTGAAAGCAGAAAATGAGCTAGTTCTATTGAGTGATACCATGCATCTAAGTAGCTCAGCATTTACCTCATCAAAAAATATTATTAAGCTCTTGAGCCTGCCTATCAATGACACTCAAAAACATATCCACATGAAACCTGGCCTGTGATAATTAAGGGCACCTATGGAGAATTGCTTTGATATTTGAATAGGCTTATACTTCTCATTCATGTCAACAACTTTAACTTTGTGCTTTTCGCAAAACGAAGTGACCTTCTAAAGAAACTATTTCCATCCGTGATCTTCTCTCAAAATTTCCAATTCTACCTTTGTGAACTCAAGAAAATCCATTACTACAACATCTTGCTCCCTCCTTTGCAAAGCATTACATAAGTCATTTGTGTATCAGAATATTCATTCACCTAGTGCAGCAGAAATACATATACTCAAATACTCAAATGACTAAAATACAGTCAAGATGGTTTGAGCTCCTAAAGCCTCGGCACCTTTACTTTCATTCGCAACCTTCTAGAGAACTTTCTTGATTGAAGGATGCGAAGCTATAACATGCATTATAGTCTAGTAGCAAGATCCCCAACGTGTATCACCTGGCCATGCTAAGCCCATCTCTTAATTCAAACCTCTTGTTTCAATTTCATCCAATTTAAATGCTTCAATCATATAATCAGGTTGACCTACGTGAAGCATGCATATCTTCTTACAAGACATCCCAAGAGCATTCAACAAATCTGCAAGTAGCCCAAAAAACAATGAAAATCAATATTCTCCTTAGGAACAACTACAAGTGTTGGTTGAAGTTGATAGGAGAAGCAATGAACATAATTAATATGCACAAGGAGAATCCTCCATAATTAACCGATCTGCCCTCGCCCAATTACATCGGCAAGCGGGACGCCAGCCACCGCCACGAGTGCCAGAACAGCCTCGCCCAATCACGGACGCCGCTAGGTTAGGTTTTGGATTGGCGGTGAAGGGACCATGTCGCCTAAGAGAGGGAGGGGGGGTCAAATTACGGAAAGCATCCCTGCCGACCAGTCGGACCGAGTCCGACCACCGACTCCCCCCTCCCTCCTATTATTTTGTTGTGTTTAATTCGGCCAACCTTTAGTTTTGGCCCATTTCGCACTGATGTTTAATTATTTCCGGGTGCCGACTCTCCCTCCGCTTGTTTTGATTTCGATTTGCTCAAAGTCCGTCCGCCGACCACGTAGTGCGTTACGTCGGGTTTTCTTTTTAATTTTTATTTTTCTTTTTTTCCTCATAGTTTTTCTTTCCTTAGTACTCTTTATTTTTCTTTTTGTTTTCTCTTTTATTTTTTGTTTTGTTCTATTATTCTTGTCATATTTTATTCTTTTTTATTTTTCTTTCTTTTAATCTTTTCATCTTTTTTTATTTTTCTTTCTTTTATTCTATTTCTTTTTTCCTTTCCTCTCTTTTTTCATTTTTTCTTTTTCAGTGGTCTTTTATTATTCTTTTTGTTCCCTTTTTCTTTTTTCATTTTTTATTATATGTTTTCCTTTTCTTTTTTTCCTTCCTTCCTTTCATTCATTTATTTTTCTTTTCTTTTTTACAGATATACGCGATGTTCATGTAGTATACATGTAATGCTCTATGATGTATTTTCTTATGTGTGAGTACAAATGTGATGTTATACGATGTATTTTATGATGTTCAGTAAGCATACATTGATATTCTAGGATAATTTTTATGTTCGGTAGCATTTTTTTCTTTTTATATGACTCTAACTAATTACTTCACTAATTTTATTATTTTATTTTATTTTTTTATGATATATGTGATGTTCACGTAGTATATATATTATGTTCTATGCTATATTTAGTGACGTTTGTGTACTGTTAATGTGATGTTCTACGATATTTTGTGTGATGTTCGGTGACATTTTTTTCTTTTTATTTGACTATAATTAATTACTTCACTAATTTTATTTTTTCGATATATATGATGTTCACATAGTATACATATGATGTTCTATGCTATTTATACGATGTTCGTATAGTGTTAATATGATGTTCGGCGATTATCTTTAAATATAGGTTCATCAAGAGATAAATGTTCGTTAAATTTTTTTATCGAAATATACCCATGTGGGGCCTTGTTTTCAAGATTTTATTGCAAGGAAGACAATGGTGCAATCGGATTTTAATTAAGACACTTTGTTTATAGAATATGTCTTTTTTTGTTCAAAAGTACGGGATGCGCTGATGTCAGCATTTTTGGCTTTAGTGCATGGCTGATGCTTGGTTTGCCTGCGCGGTGCGCGAGAAACGGCCCGTGAAAGCCCAATACAATTGAATTTTGGTCCAATACCTTGAAGCGCGTGGGCAACTAATTATTTCAGCTTTAGCTCGGGGGTTTGGTGCGGGATCGTGCCACTAGGTCGGCACCTAGGTGCCACATTAAATTAGGCTTTCCGAAACTTCTACTTTAAATTATGATCTCTAATCTGCACTTATTAAAACCTATGCAAGAAAGTAATCTCTCGTCGATGATTCCGATATTTTTGCCGAGGTATCGAGAAGCTCATGCTTTCCCCTAGTCCTCGTTAGAGCCCCTGGCAAAGGCCAAGCTCTCGATCAGGTAACACATATGGATATGCCATGAAAGTTAAAAATGAGGTCAGCTTGTTCCTATATATGTGTGTACAACGACATAAGTAAGAATTCGTTGCTACCTAAGATTGGCACTGTTAATGTGTTTAGAGAACTTTCCTAAAAAATGTGTTTAGAGAACAATTTGAAGATGCTATAAACCTTGAAGAGACTTCTTGCGTGGCCTCTATAACTAATGGGACGTGGATGCACCATGCTCAAGGCCCATCAAATTGAATGTTTCAATTATTTCATCTAAGACTCTTACATGGTCTCTATAACGGATGGGACGTGCACTTCTCTTGGTTGTTTTAGGTACGAATTGATGTTCCTTTTTGGAACGTGACTTTTTCCTTGAAACTCCTACGATTCCTGAATATGATAGTTATGAATTTACAATGACTCTTTTGTCGTATTTTGTAAATTGCAGTGACCATTTAGTCGTATTTGGCATATATTCTATGGTTCAATTCAGACGGTTTGATTATCATAAAATCCAACAGTGGATATTCTTCTCTTTTTCTTGATTGATCTCGTGTAATTTTTTTGGTATGGACTCTATTGTTAGTTTTAAACTGGTGCATCATCATAAAATCCATCTGTGAATATTCTTCTTTCTTGATTAATCTCATAATTTTTAGACTCCCTCGATGACGTGGTGACTTCTTTTGATTCTATTGTATTAATATAATAGATAGATAGATAGATAGAAGGAAGGAACAAATAAGAAAAGGAATAAAAAATAAGTAAACAAGAAAAATGTGAAGGAAAAAAAGAACGTGGCGGCCTGGCTAAACAGCGAATGCTCACTCGATGCCATACGAGCCAATAATTTTCTAACATATATTATCTTCTTTTCTAGAAAAAAAATTACACCTATTATCCTATTTGGTAGTACTCAGCAGCGCGGCACTCCTTCCATGCGCACAAGGCTGCAGGCTGGCTATGATGTCAGCGCTGACACAGGCGAGAAAAAAGT